CCGGTGGTGGCTAACATCTACATGGAGTGGTTTGAGGGTCAGGCCTTGGCATCCGCCCCGGTACGACCGCGACATTGGTGGAGGTATGTTGATGACGTGTTCGCGATCGTCAACCGGGAACATGTGGCTGAATTTGTGGGACACTTGAACTCGGTGCACGGCAGTATACAATTCACCACTGAAGAAGAGAGAGAAGGGATGTTGCCGTTCTTGGATGTCCTCGTAAGACGAGAAGAAAATGGTCGATTGTCACACACAGTGTATCGTAAACCGACACACACGGACCGGTACTTGCGAGCTGACTCACACCATCATCCCTCCCATCTAGCCGCTGTTCCCCGGACCTTGATAAACCGGGCGCTGAGTCTATGCGATCCCCAGTATATTGACGACGAATTTCACCACTTAAAACGGGTACTGGAAAACAATGGATACAACTGGCGTCAATGTACTCGACTTGCGAGCAGCTCGAGTAGGAAGCGACCGGCAGTTGCGGAACGGACTCCAGCGTTCTTACCATACGTGAAAGGAGTAACCGACAGAATCGGACACCTGCTTCGCCGTAAATACTGCATCAGGACGATCTTCCGCCCACCCGGTCAGCTAAGACAACTACTACGCTCACCTAAAGATAAGGATCCACTGGCTGTACCCGGAGTGTACATAATACCGTGCGACTGTGGCTCGAGTTACATCGGGGAAACTCGTCGCAACATCACAACCAGGCTAAAGGAACATATACGCAGCGTGAAGAAGATGGACATCCAGGCATCGGCAGTGGCTGAACATGTTTGTGGTACGGACGCGGCTCACTTCATACGTTTTGATAAGGTCTCCGTACTAGCGAGAGAAAAATACTTCGTTCCGCGAAAAGTGCGAGAGGCCATCGAGATCAGCCGACGACCGTGCTTCAACAGGGATGGTGGCTGGGCACTGCCACCCGCGTGGAAGCCGAGCTTGGAGTCTTCGTCGATCCACAGCGTCTCCAGTCTGGAGTGTGACACAGTAAGCGTTATATGCAACACTGACTTTGTGCCGAACCCGGAATCGAACCCACGACCCGCGCCGCTGGTGAACGTACCGTGCGCTTTAGCTTCGTCCAACGCGCTGCCGGAGTTGGAAGCAAACGCTCGTAGTGTCCGACAGAGGGCGCGTTGGGCTCGCAGCGCAGGTGGCAACACCGAGGCGAGCGCCAACGCCAGCCAGTGAGCTGCGCGACGTCGCCGCGACCGCGCACGCTGCTCATGAGGAAGAACCCCTCTGTGGTTCGAAACTAGTAGAGCTTTTCTCAGTATATTCACGTGAGTAACCCGCGTTTTTACTTAATTTAGTATGTCTCACGATAGTTATTATAAAAACATAAGAAAAAAACATGTTTTAAAGAATTTTTGTTGCGATAATATTTTTAATTGTTCAATTGTTGTGTGTTCTACTTGTAAGTGTGTGCCGAAGTTAAAGGTCTTGCATACGATTACTGGGTTGAGCACAGTATTATTGGATTTTTGTAAGTCTTATTTGGTTGTGCTTCGTCGCACCCTGTTACATGATTTTTAAAGTTTTTATCCCCCTCACTTTCCACTCTTATTATTTATTTATTTATTACTAAGGGACAAAAAACAGATATTAAATCCTTCCGAAATAAAAAGAGGATTTTTCTGTATGCAATATGTTTGTGCGTTGTTCCATACTTGTAACTTTTTATGTAATCCCACCGTAGGTCCGTACAACGGGTGCCGTGGACGCGCTGACCCGCCAGCCGGTGAAGGGCCGGCGGCGCGGCGGTGGAGTCCGTCTCGGGGAGATGGAGCGGGACGCACTCGCCTCGCATGGCGCCGCATTCTTACTGCATGATCGATTGTTCCATTGCTCGGATAAGACTGAGGTAATGTTCTTATATTTAGGTCTCTTTTATCAGAAAAGTCGTATGTTTTGTTACTTATTTTAAATCTTACACGTTTTAAATCCTTTTATACGTAAAAACGTTACAAAATAAACTCATTTTTAAAAACATTACTACTTGAAAGACTGACACAGGACAACAAAATCGATTATTATCAGTTATTTTTTGTTTGGTCCAGATTCTTTGTCCCTGTGTATGTTCAGACTCGCTTTTGATCATTCAATCACCAAATAATTGTGTTTCAATGTTTATATAACATTTGTTTTATTTTCCAGGCGGTGCTATGCTCAAAATGCGGTACTCTATTGGGTCCAATAGTTGGCAAGAGCGAAACGAATAAGGACACATGTAGATTGTGTGGGGAAGGCAACCTCGTCTCTATTGCCATACCATACATCTTCAAATTCTTTGTAACACAGCTAGCTTGTGTTAATATTAATGTTAAAATCAATTGTGGACAGCAATTAGCTATTACTGGGTAGTTTGTACTACTAAATGTTCTTTATATGTAAGGAAAAGTGCTAATAAATATGTATATTGTTTGTTTCGTGTTTAATTTTTCGTGGCGTTTTTTCGCCATAGTTCGTCAATCATTTAGATCATGAATAGAATTCAGAGTTAATATGTGGTTATAGAAATAGGGTGAATAGATGTTAGAACATTTTCCCAACATGTATTCACTGCTCTTCTGTATCTATTCAAGTATTCACCCGTTTTGCTGATTAAGATAAAGATATTAACACACTACAACTACACTACTAAGCTCGACCTTCGGCTCTTACGCCGTGGACGAAAACGGCCTGACAACAATAGAATAACTGGTAGACTTCGGATAAGAATTAAAAAAAACGATTGATATACGTTATTTTATTAGTAAAACTAGTAACATGGACAACAGTTAACAGCTAAACATCTATAACGTACTTTATTACTTTACCTAAAAAGCGTTTCATTTTAGTTTGCAACAACTTGATTCAAGAAGCAACTAAAACATATTAAAGCTGAGAGAAGATTAAAAATAGACTATATTATGTGAACACAAATCGAATTCATAATAAATTACTTCTTCGCCACGCCATCATAATCTTATGTGGTACCCATATGAATCCACATAAAATGTTGACGTTATCCACGCTGACTAAGAAAATGTTGCAGTCTTTTAGGCCTGTCGTTAGCCCTTTAACCGCCAAGCTTCTGAACTTTCAACTTACCTCCAGCGCCACGTCACTTTAGGTATAAGTTGGAACAGTGTTGGGAACACTTAATATCGATGCATATATTCTTTATTAATTAAAATCAATGTTTTATTTACCTACTTAATAAATAAGCTAAAAATTTTCAATCTTCAAACGAAGTGTACGAAAATGAGTATTCGGGAAATGGCCACGGCGTCGTCCGTTCTCCTGCTGGCGACGGTGACGATGCTCCACGAGCATGTTGTATTAAATTTAATAATTTCATGTAAACTTCTGAGCGGATTTCCGACAGTACGGTTTCCAGCTCAAAAGGTTTTAAAGATGCAAAGTATTCATTTCGTGGATCACTTGGTCTCTGATCAAAAACTTTTGCGTCACCATCTTCTAACTTTGCATAATGGACACATTTGGTTTTGACTGTGTTGATTTATTTGAGAAATAACAAAAACCCAAAAAAGGGCTTACAACACTAGTTGCATTGAGTGATAAATGTTTAACGTGATTTTACGGTGACGGCGCTAAGGCAACTCACAATACAGCGCTATAATCTCCTTGGCCGCACGTAATATTACGATGATGGCGACCGGCGATTGTCCGCACTAGTGCGGTTCTGCGTTATGAAATTTTTATATTATTGTTATAAATATTAAATAATTTTAAACTTAAATACATTTTAATTAGTACAAATACTTGCATCAAAGTAACACTATGGTTATTTTCTAATGAAAGTATACACTTTCATTGCAAATAGTGACAGTAATATCTATAGTGCCTTGTTTGTTCTTAGACAACCTATTAAGTATTTTTCGAATTCGCCCCATCCCTAGTACTCGTAAAATTACGTGATTGGCGATACAGATAATGGAGACGGTGACCACAATTTAATTAAACCTCAAATTTCACAGTATTTTTCACTCAAAACATTGAGAAATATCCATAACAATAAAGATTATACCCTTCATCTTGAAATTGACACATTTTATATGGAGTTTGTGCACTATAAGAAGATTTTTAATAAAATAACGTGATTGTACGTATGTGGCGATTCGGACACAGCTTTCGAAAACCGTAATATTACGTTGTCGGCGGTTAAAGGGTTAACATAGGTTTTGCACTTTCAGGGAAAGATCCTAAGAGTCTCTTACATCAAAAACTTTGCCTCCGAAGTAAAATTTCAATGGTACTTTATTTTTCAAATACTTCTTTAAAAAGTTGAGATTTGATTTAGGCCATACTTAACAGAATATTTGTGCAATAAAGTAATCATATTTTCTATAGGCAGGTTAGGTTAGATAAGTAAAAGTTAACTATTTATTATGTATCATAATTATAATATAAAATATCTGCAGTAGAGATTGTAAAATAAACTTTATTACTACTACATTTATTTACTTTGAAAATACTGGACTTTTCATTACAACTTATAGTTTATTAGTCTATCAAATCAAACTGGTCTAAAAATGTATTGTCAACTCCTAGGGCCGTGCCTAGACTTTCCCGAGGTTTTCTGCAAGGAGTTTCATCATCAAAGCAGAACTCTTCCAAATAATCTTCAGTTAACTTCTGCGGTATTACACTACAACTTGGACCTAACAGGTCAGGTAATAAGACCCTATTTGCTGTGAATACATCTACATTAACTGTATTTAAATTTTCTTTTTCTTCTGCAATGGTCTTGAATTCATTAACTTCTTCATTACTTTTGTCAATGGGCAACACACTGGCCCTTACTTTTTTAAACCTATTTATAATCTTCTCTAAAGAACTAGTTTTCCTAATCAATTGTGTATTAGTTTTTGGAGTTTCAGTCTTACATTCTTCCAGAATATTTTCCTGCAGTTTTGGTACATTTAGTTCTGCAAAATGCACCTTATTTGAGTCTCCCTTCTCTGTGATAACCTTTTCTGGTTCAGGGGTTACAGTAATAGCAGGCAAGCTTGTAGCATCAAATATTTTCCGTGTACTCTCTAACCGAGGCACACCCTCAGGAGTGCCAAAACTATTATCTTTCTCCAACACTGAGATACCAGAAACTTCCAGAATTGGGCAATCTTCTTGCATAATAGAGAGCTTCCGAGGAATAGGAATCTTTGACCGTTTTTCTCTGTTTTCGAAGAGATTAGGTGATGAATGACTTCTGTATAAAGCATTGTCATTAGACACCACCGACTCATTAAACAAACCTCCTTTCTTCACTTGAATGTCTGGTCTTTCAGTCTTATATTTAAACTTTTTGGAGCTGCTGGACTTTTTTGTTGATAGCAACCTCATTATTTGCTGTTTGGTGAAACCAGAGGAGCATTCAGCTATGGTTTCATTATTTCTATGGTTAGCTTGAGGTATTATAGACATGTTTAAGTTTTGTGTGGTGTTTGGGCGGTCATAGGAACTGAATCTGCATGATATGAGGCTTTTCAGGAAGTCGTCTTTTGGTCCTTGGTAGAACGGCGCGATGAGCATTGAACGTGATGGAGGTTTGACAAAAGACTGCACTCTTCTACGCAAATTGAACTGATGTTTCGAAATGTTAAGAGGAGTGAAGTTGTCAAATATAACTTGAGACTGCAGGTCTTTGCCCATCTTCAAATCCGATAGGTCAGGTAAAAGTGGTATTTCCGAAAATTCTTTGAGAGATATTGACTGATTATATGATGATTCTGATGGCTGGAAAAAATAAAAAATATAAATTAGTAAATATGTCTTTATGATTTTCAACAATAACTAAATATATTAACAAGTACTTGATGTTTTGATCTTAAATTACCTTAAATGAAGGAAAAGAAAAATAATAATAATAATCTTTTATATTACTTTACATTAAACAACCTTAAGTGCCATAAAGAAAAAAAATTGATCTAGATAAAAGTAAGTTTACTAGCATTTATAAAATTATACCTGTAGTCTAGCTTCAGCAGTCATCACCCTTTCCATAAGGACTCGCATTGCGGACACAATCTCCGCTAAGTTCCTTTTCCCACCATCCAAATACTGATTGAACTTATATACCTCATCTCCTATTTCAGCATTTTTCAGTATAAAACATATTGAAATTAGGAAAGCTCGAATAAGATTTGGAAAACATAATTTGTCATCTTTCGTAATGTTTTTCAGAATATACCTCTGTTCACTGTTTACTTGATTTTCTAGTTCTTTCGTACAAATGTCATCGGTTTTAGGATTGTATTCTAGAGTGTAAGAACTCCTTTCTGCTTCACCTGTTTGTCTCGCTATTAACATTTCGCTACTGTTTCTAGTATCTATACATTTTTGCAGAAACGGTTTCATTTTCAAATCCCATTCCTCTTCTAATTCTGTTATTTTTTTATCTGTTTCCACCAACCAGTCATCAAAGAACTTTGCTGGTTTATGAAGATCCTTTATGTTTAATATTTCTTTTTTTGTTGCATCATCAACTTTGTGAGTTTTCAAATACCCATCAACAATATCATCTAAATATTTCTGTGCATTTAACTCTGACATTTTATTCTCCATTTCTACAATCTTCTTACGGAACATTTCAGCTATCTTCTCCATTGCTGCTCTTTTGCATAAATAATTGGAAAACTTGTTAGACATGGATACAGTTTCTTTTTCAATATTCTCTATAAAACCTTCTTTGTGTGATTTGTAGTCTTCAGTCATGTTGTCATAGAGTTTTCTTTGTGAATCATTGATCATTTTCGTTTGTACAACTCTTTGGACAGCGAGTTGAGACATTTGGAATATTAGCATGGTCACCTTGTAGCACCCAGGGTTCACCAAGTAGGAAGACATGACTGGAGACAGTAAACCCTTATTGCTGTAGTCTGTGATGAAGTTAGAGAGCTCGTTCCGGTACGCTCTTTCAGTCTTTGTGTCGTACAGCGGCCACGGCAATGTACTACACACCTGATTATCGATTATTGATACCAAATAATAAGACAGGTGATTAAACAAACTCTGAGTCGGTTTCTCTAAAGCATTTTCCTTAAAGATCAATCTGCTAAGCTCCGAAGGCATTTGTTGCAGCTTACTGAGTATTCCCACGTTCAAAATAGTCTCTTTCTTGAACGAGACAACAAGGTCTCTTTGTATCATAATTGTAGCCATTTTAACACCGTGTTTTCATATAAATGCACTTATAAACTCAATATTTAGAGTTTTCACATCACTTTACACATTGTGTCCAGTTTAGTCCACATTTAAAAAAGATTATTCAATATCACCACGAATAACAACAAACCCGTACGCAACTTCCCCTGGGAGAATTTCAAATTGAAATGTCAATTTTTTCCGTTGACGCCACGTAGTGTTGTACAGAAACAGACTAAAAAATGTTACTAAAATAAAAGTGTATTAGCAGTCAAAACTAAGATGGAGTCCAAACTTTAGGTATATTAAAAAATATATAACTTTCGTAATAATTATTGACCGATATTGTGAAAAATAAAGAAGTGTACAGATTTAAAACCGACTCTAAAAAAAAATAAATAGAGGTGAGAAAACTATGAGCCTGGTATGTTTATTTGTGCGCGATTATCTCGCGATTAGCTGAATCGATTTCGAGGAAAAGGTTTAAAGTAAATTAATCAATTCAATTTAAAAAAGAGGGGGTCGATGTAAGTTTTTCTAATATTATAGGAAAAAATTACAAAGCATACTTTCAAACAATACATGTAACGATATTTATTAGATCGTACTTCAAAAAACATGAAAACAGTACGTGAAAAATATTTTGATAGTAAATAATAGCACAATAAAGATAAGCACAAAATAATAAAAATTAGTTTGACTTTCTCGATAGTACATACATACATAATAATATATAACTTCACGCCAGTCTCCCATGGAGGTAGGCAGAAACTATAGAACGCCAATCTCTACGATATCTACATACCTCTTTCGCTTCATCGAAAGTCATTAATCTTTTCATGCATGCTCATCGGCTAAGGGTACTTTTAACTTAGCCCTTCTTTAATATATTGCCCCGATCTGGTCAGTATATGTTCGTCTTAGGGGCCCTCTACCGACGGCCCTATTCATATCCGCTCTGTATATTTTTTTCTTTACTCTATTTTCATCCATCTGATCCATCCTTTCTACATGTATAACATTCCCTTTTTTAAACTTGTCACTCATTACATCTATACTTTTAATCCACACCTTTCTCTATTAACATTAATTTAATTAACATTATTTAATTCTAATACACATACTTCTCAGGGCTGTCATTTCCACCGCAAGTCGAGCTTTGCTGGATATTATTTTAGTTGCTAATACAAAGTGTAAGACCACCATTGAAGCTATTTCCCGCTTTCACTCTCTTTTCGATAGTACTGTTTGAAAATAATGAGATTAGTAAGTAGATATTGTTTCATTCTTAAAAATACTAATGTGTTGCTGTTAATGGGTCCATCACTATGTCGAAGATCACTCCGTTTCATTGTACGTAAATAATATTGTACGTTGATAAAATAAGTAATTGTTATTTATTTTTGATATCAAATAGCGAGTATCAAATCTACTTTTAATAGCAAAAGTTGAATAGTTTTCATTTAAAATAAAATATTTAACTAGCAACACTAATACTACGTTCCTTTTACTGGCTGCGCAAGTTGCGGGCTACATTACGCCTTGTTCTTGTCTCATTCATTACGTGACACGGAACTTATAACCTCTAAAACATTTCGTGAGTGGGGTAGCAAACAAAACTCACGTGTTTGTTTCTCCCCAAAAAATGAAAATAAATTGAAGTAATAGAATAATCAAAAATGGTGCGTAATATTTTTATTTGGTTTGATTAAAACGTGTGGCAGGTATAAGTGATAAAGTTTTATGTTATTTCAGAGTAAATTATATGTGTTGTACGAACACAGTGCGGGGTTCGCCCTGTTCAAAGTTGCCGAATTTGAAGAACTTGCGGCATTTCTGCCTCAAGTCGAGGAGTCTGTGACTGACTTACAGCGATTCAACTCTGTTGTGACGTTGAGCGCATTCCAGCCATTCAAATCTGCTGTGGTAGCGTTGGAAAATATCAACGCTATATCCGAAGGTTAGTGCTCCGCGTGTTCATTGATAAAGACCACACGACACGTCTGTTACTCGTTTGTGTCAATATTTCACCCCATAATGCTATAAAATACACATTGTAGGTTTAACTGAACTTTTTACAAAGTTGTATGGTAATTTCATAAAAATGAAAACATTATGTTCTAAATTTCTTATCATGTTGCAAGATGCTATATCTTATTTCTAAATCTTTAACTCGAAGTTAGCATTATTCTGTTGTTATTTATTATGCACATGAGACAGCATATTTATAAACAATTCATCACAATTTTCAGCAAAAAAATACCATAATAATAACAAATAATTTTTATGAAACAGGTATTGTACCCGAAGACCTGAACTTATTCCTGGAAGGAGCGCTTCCAAAGCGCAAGAAGCGCAGCAAATGTACCCTGGGTGTGTTGGACCCCAAACTAGGGGCTGCCATCAGCGAGGCTCTGGAGATCCCATGCTCACACACTGGTGCTGTTCCCGAGATACTGAGAGGTTTGTAGACCAAAAATTGTATATTAACAATTAGTATAAGTTCATAATTAATATCATTCTGTAACTGTCCTACTGCTGAGAAAAACTTCGCTCTTCTTACATGAAACTCACCTAAAAGATATCATGGAGTACTTAATATATTGTACACAAAATTTGTTCATGCAAAAGTAATCTCTAAACATCAGAAATAAGGTCTATAATGAAGTTAGTCGAGGGTGTTCATCAGTGATCACTTGGGGCTTGAGCAGTAAAATAATTCTGATAACTTTAATAATGCCAGATAAAGAAATTTTTAAACTCTTCACCAAATGTGAACTTTATTTGTTATCTGCGAAGATTTAATATTTATTTTTGCTAAGGTATAGAAACCTTGTCACATAACTTCCATGTATCTCTACTTCAAAATATATTCTTCAAAGACAGTAAAATAAAATACATACAGTCAAAACCATTTATAACGACATCAAAGGGACCGATTAATTATAATCGTTATAACCAATAGTCGCTATAACCAATACCTATATGCTTTATAAGACAATAGACTGGACCTCAAAATTTCGTCGTTGGGCCCGATTCGTCGTTGTAAGCGGTTTTGACTGTATATAATATATATAATTTTGAAATATTATGCACGCTTTGATCTATTGCAAGTGTGTCCTGCATTTGTGGTAATAACAGCAGTGCTATAGTGAATGCAGTAGTATCCACACATGTACTCTAATTATAAGTGTAATGTGTATGAAATTATCTGCTACATTTATCACATAGTAACTATTCATGACTAGCGACCAGCCATGGCTTCGCACGGGTCCAATATGTATGTATTATATATAAAAACCTTCCCTAAGAATCACTCTATCTATTAAAAAAAGCCGCATCAAAATCCGTTGCGTAGTTCCAAGATCTAAGCATACATAGGGACCGACAGACAGCGGATAGCGACTTTGTTTTATACTATGTAGTGATTACACAAACTGATAAATCAATCTTGATTGTAACTTTTAGTATTGAATAGGCTTTTGACAAACATTGTTTTCATTGAAAACCTTTGTAATGTTATTATCGTCATCAACAGGTATCCGTCACCACTTCCACGCCCTCATCAAAGGTCTAACCCTGAAGGCATGCAGCGTAGCACAGCTCGGTTTAGGCCACTCATACTCACGTGCCCGAGTCAAGTTCAACGTGCACCGAGTAGACAATATGATCATCCAGTCCATAGCGCTACTTGACCAGCTCGACAAAGATATCAACACGTTTTCTATGAGGATCAGGTGAGGGAATAAAACATTTCAGAGTTTATACTAGATATTAAGTAAATTGAAGTATTTGCGAATACTTGTGAAGTTTTCTACAGAATTTTTTATGCACTGCTCTTGGAAAATCCACAAAATTAAAAAGAGTTACTAGTGCGTAGACGGCTCTTTTGAAACACAACTTCGTCTACTTCTATAATAGAAACTGTAGCCAAAATTATTTTTTTTTTACAGAGAATGGTACTCTTACCACTTCCCGGAGCTGATCAACATTGTGCCAGAGAACCAGCTGTACACCAAGTGCGCAGAATTCATTAAGGACAGGAAATCATTGAGCGACGAGTCAGTGGAACCATTGACGGAGATCCTTGGAGACTCGGAGAAGGCCCAGGCTATTATTGATGCATCCAAAATGTCTATGGGCATGGACATCTCTCCTGTAGACTTGATTAATATTCAGATGTTCGCCGGCAGAGTCGTTGGACTCAGTAATTATAGGTATGTATTTATTTTGAAAATAGTACATAAGTAACATGATTTCTTAAATCATTTTTACTAAATGTCCCTAACCTTAGATTATGGCTTGCATACATCGCACCTTTAATGATAAACCGAAATAATGCGAAATTTTTAATTGTTGGGAAAATGAGGTCAAAGTTTTGCGAGTATGACTGGGTTTATATTTTTACGAACTACAAAAGGACGATTACGATTACAATGATTCTAGTTAGTGGTTAATGTAAGTAATGTAATTAGATATCAATAGGTATATGAATGTTTTCAATACAATCACAATTTTTTTAGAGGACGATACTCTATCTCACCAAGATGGACAATACCTCTATCTCTGCGCGTGCAAATCGAAATTGCCTGTTAGACTGTTGTATTCGTTACATGACTTTAATGCGTTTTATGACGATAAGTCAAAATTTTTTTTCCTTATTACGGTTTATTACTAAAGGTACGACATGTTATTGCATAAAAATACAACCAAATTAACAAACTTGTTGCCAAAATTACGGTACTTAACACTTTTCCATACTCCTTGCCACTATTATTATAAAAACTATTTGAGTCATCAAATTGCTATTTTGAATCTACAAGTATGATACTATATGTGAAAGTGTTATATCGCCCACCATATAAAAGAAAATCGTAGTAATTTTTAACTTAGATAAATAATAAACTATACTGCCATATTCATTACAGAAAGCAGATATCAGAGTACCTGCACACTAAGATGGAGTCTGTGGCCCCGAACCTGACAACCCTCGTCGGAGACCAGGTCGGCGCCCGACTTATATCCAAGGCCGGTTCACTCACCAGCCTCGCCAAGTACCCGGCCTCTACACTGCAGATTTTGGGTAAGTTTAAATATTACATCAAATCTATTAAAGTAACGTCAATGTGTGGGAGAGCCATGCTTCGGCACGAATGGGCCGGCTCGACCGGAGTGATACCACGGCCGAGCAGAAAACTGACGTGAAGCAACGCTTGCGTTGTGTTTCGTCGTGTGAGTGAGGTTACCGGAGGCCCAATTACCCCCTTGCCTAGTCCTTGTCTCCCGAATCCCCGAATCTTCCACAATCCACAGATTCCCAAAAGACCGGTAACGCACTTGTAACGCCTTGGTGTTTCGAGTGTCCATGAACGGCGCCGATTGCTTACCATCAGGTGATCCGTCTGCTCGTTTACCGGCTTATGCTATAAAAAAAATGATTTTTTAGAATAGCGCAGGAATACGAGTGGTGTGGTTCTAGTCAGTAAGAGTCTATGTTCAAATACTCAAACTCCACTCAATTTTAAGTCTGCGCTTAAGTATAGTTCTGTCACTACAAATTCTTTATAGAATGACAGAGATGGCACGATATTTAACTCGTTGAGTACCGTCATTATAGACACAATTATAGAACAATAGGTTGCGGTCACCTGTGACCGCTTGGTGTTTGACAGTTTAAGTACAACCTGAAGTTCAGTAGCCTTTCAGTATTCGGGCGTAACAAAGGGATCTAATAAAGCATTGCATGTACTATAGTTAGTTTATAATAAAAATATATAGCCTGTATAAATTACTAAACTAAACAAATTACGGGCAAGAGGTCTCGGGTTCGATTCCCGGGTGGGGCAAAGTATGACCGGGTTTTTACAAAAAATCTCAGTAGTAGCACGGAGTCTAGAATTGTACCGGGTATATGGTATTAGGCTCACCCCCTATTACATGCGACTTATAACATAAATAGTGAAAAGTGGGTGTTACATTGCACAGTAACATTAAGTGCCGTAATGTGAACCTCTGCCTACCCCTTCAGAGATAAAAAGGCATGATGTTATGTTATAAAAATTACTTATTTTGCATAAGAAATATTTCTTTACTTTCGAATACTTTATTTTATTTGTTTATAGATTTGGCTATTTTACATAACATTTTGGTCGTCAGAGCTGTTAATCACTAAAGTACTTCAATTTCCGTTCACTCTTTCAACTTACTAATAAAATGATGTTTTCCATCACCAGGTGCCGAGAAGGCTCTGTTCCGTGCGTTGAAGACTCGCTCGAACACGCCCAAGTACGGCCTGCTGTATCACTCGACGTTCATCGGTCGCGCCGGACTGAAGAACAAGGGACGCATCAGTCGGTACCTTGCCAACAAGTGCTCTATCGCATCCAGGATCGACTGCTTCTCTGGTAAGCCTCCACTGATGCTATCTAATAAATTATTTATTCATTTTACAACTTTATTAAAAAGAATGTAGCATGCAACAAAAATCCAATTACTGGTTTCTACGACTAGCCGCGGAGAACAGAAACAGGCTAACATAGGTATACAGCACTAAAACCTTCAATAATGATCTAACTATAGGATATACATAATGCTTATTTAACCCATACATCCCCAAGCAGTCACCGATGACCGCTCTCCACTAACTGCATTATAGACCTTATTTTCGATGTTTACTTTTGTATGAACAAATTTAGGGGAAGATTGTCAACAATTTTCAATGGGTTAATTATATATTTTATCATCATCAACAGCCTATAAGTGGCTACTGCTAACCAAATGTTCTCACCACGCCTGCTCAATGGTTGAAATGTATTTTATTTATAATCTTAAAAAAAAGAAATAAAAATGAGAGTTACCTCTATACCTATATCTTCACACAGAAAAATTAGTAATCTTTTCATCAAGCCATTAGTGTCAGTTTCCCGAAAATAATAACTTAAATCCGCAACATCTAGAAATGCTGTTTCTTTGTTTATTATTTGGACAAACTTGCTCTTAAAACAGTTATACTAAAATTAAAAGAAGACTGAAAACCACAATAAAATTGATCTATAAAACAGGACCGATTTTTCCAACGCCAGTTAAATTTTGTGAGGAATAACTTTGAATATTTGTCAATTCTTCCATACTACAAACTGTAGAAATAACAGATGATTGAAAAATCGGCCTTTAGCCCGCTACATTATCCCATTTCACACACTCAAACCACTACTCAAGCTACAAAACTCAAAATTAAACCTAACTTTGTCCTCCTAGAAATCCAATCATCCGTATTTGGTGAGAAACTCCGGCAGCAAGTTGAAGACCGTCTCAAGTTCTATGAGACCGGTGACATTCCTAAGAAGAACATCGAAGTAATGAAGGAAGCGTTAGATGAACTGCAGCAGGCTGTGGACGCCGAGGCCAGCGCTAAGAAGAAAAAGAAAAAGAAGAAGAAGAAGGAAAGAGATGAGGAACAGCCTATGGATGAGGATTGAATAAGATAGAGTTTTACTAAGGATCGTGGATGATCGTTCAGAAGGGTGATAGAAGTTACACAATATTTTAATGGTAACGAAGTACTGAGCAGTTCAGAACTGCTTATATGTAGTGTTACAAAAGTGTCACCATAGTTTAAAGTAGGGCATTGAAATTTTCGGGTCGTAAGTTAGTACCTTTTTGTTACAGCGTTGTACTTTTGTACTGTTATACTTGTATTGACATTTTAATTTTAATTTTTACAACACATTCATATGCAATCACTTCTACCCAATTTTAGATTGGACCCTCATGGATACCATCTTTGACAGTTTTAGTACTTAGACGTAATGAAAAGCAGTTTTTAAACAATAAATTTATGTTAGTTTGTTCCTTTGTCTGTCATAAGGTGCTAGCTACCCTTTTGAACGATCGTGGACGATATTTTTCTAGTATAAGACATAGTGATAGTTATATCTTACAATGCGTATCGATGTAACAGGCACATGAATATTTTTTCAAATATTAAATTACTTTTAAGTTTAAGATATGTTTTATTTTCAACTCCAGTTTCGTATTGCTTTTTTCATTTCTAGGTAAATATCTTACAAATGAAAGATACATAAAATACAAAAATAACTTTAATCACATCTAAAACACATGCACGTAATATAAACACTATACTTTACATGTTAAAGTACATTTTTCAAATAGCATCAGCAAGCGACTAAGATTTTATATGTGACTAACGAAAGCTAAGCTTAGCTGTATACAACTTAACTATAAGAGATAGTTTCGCAAGTCTCTAATAAGATTATATTATTATGATGGAAACTATGACGGGCATACGCATGAGCAGTATTCCGCGATACGCGACGTGCGTGGCGACTGTCGCGCATTCTTCTATCTTCCTCTAGCATGGCTTGACAACAAGTCGAGTTCATCGTCAAACAGTTACGTGACTAAGCCGAAAACATAATAATTAATTTAGTATGTCTCACGAAAGTTATAAACATTTCATAGTAATTGAACCAATTTATCTGCTAGATACCACTATTTAGAAGTTAAAATTGATTTATAAGTAGTTAGACAACTATTTTGTATGTTAAAAGACATTCAGAAGTTGAAAACTAATTGTTTTTGGCTCAAGATTTATTCTATGGGCTACAAACAGCCCACAAAGTAAAATTTTATTCAATAAATATTGTTAAACATAGTGAATACGTACACAAGGAATGAAAATGAATAATTTCAAAGAGTTCTATTTTTTTACTTATTGGCAAAACAGAAATTCATTCCTTACGTCTCGATTCACCAAGTTCAACCACAAACTATTGAAACCATTTGTCTAAATCCTCGGGTCATCCTCACCCAATTTGACCATTCTTTCAGAGACCTCCCAGACCTTCTTAGCTCTACTCATATTACTTACTGAACTCGACAATGAACTCTCTCTACAATCAGAAAAATATTTCCCTGAAACCTTCTCCAGTTGCTCATCAACTGCTAACATCACCGTAGTCTGGCATCCTTGTTTCGGAGTCTTAAAGAAGAATTTGATGATAGGGAACAGCATCCAGTTCAATGGCGGTGGAACTGAGCTCCAGATCCCAGTTTCTATCAACCCTGGATGGAGACAGTTTACAGTCACTCCAGTACCTTCTAGTCTTCGTGCTAATTCTCTGGTGAAGAGTATGTTGGCCTCTTTAGAAGCGTAGTAAAGGTATCCTGGTATGGTGTCAACGGGGTTTGGGTTATCAATGTTGAAGGACGCGAGACGGTACAGCGAAGATGCTACGACGACTATTCTGGATGGAGCGCTTTTCTTCAGCAAGTCTATAAGAAGATGGGTTAGAAGAAAAGGTCCGTAATGGTTGGTTTCCATGGTCATCTCAAGGTCATCTACAGTCTTTCTCTTCTTGAAGGTGTCTGCATACCCTGCGTTGTGGACTAGGACGTCTAGCTTTGGTTCAGTCTTGTTGATGTCTGCTGCGAATTCGCGGACGGAAGCGAAGGAGCTGAGGTCCAGTTTCTTGACTATTACTTGTGTGTTCTTTGTGGAGTCGATGATCTCGTCTAGAAAATGAGAAATTTGATTTTGCTTTATTCATTTCGGAATAAGAAAGATTTAAAGTAGAACATGACCTCAACGACCATGACGACCACCACGACTCATTAAATATGCACCCTTTAATTCAATAATGGCGTTTTAAACTAACATTAATGCAGTAGGTACACAGTAAACAGTAGTTGTATGTAAGCATAAACAGCTGTATCAAAAATTCTACACAACATTTTAACATTTCCTTCAAAGAAGAGAAAAAATGACGCATTACCTTTAACTTTCTCAGCTACCTCCAGGTTCCTGCACGCCATGATAACCCTGGCTCCTCTTTTAGCCAGGTCTCTTGCCGTCTCCTTACCAATGCCACCAGTACAGCCAGTAACAATCACTGTCTTTCCGTCCATTCTCGTGGTTTTTCGGAATCTCCCACAGGTATATTTAGCAAATAATCTGATCGCGAATATGACTCCGAAAAGACCAAGAATCGCGAATACTGTAGCCACAATCAGAACTGGAAAGACCCAGTAGAGGTAGCTGGCTTTCCAAGCTTCTGCCACGATCATCTGGAAACAAATGGAAAACTTAGGTAGGTATATTATCCTGTTGATGGATGCTAAGAGATTTAGGCATCGGATGCACTGTAACGAAACCGCGGTGGTTAAATTACACCGCCTACCGCACGTTGTCTACCTTTGAGACATATGTGACGGCAGTATTTGTACTTACTAAGCTATACATATAAAAGAACATACATCTCAGTTACTGACGTTTTTGAAGGCCAATGTGACTCACCACAGTAACAATTAATTAGTCCACACAATTTGTATTTATGACATGCATCACGCCCATCAGATACCGCGTAAGGATACATGCAATGACTTTAAATGACATATTAAAAAGCCCGGGACGTTATAACATTGGGAATAACAAGTAGGTAACAAATATAGTGGTTTTAATGGATTTAATATTAGGAATTAGTATAACTTTCCCATTGATAATGTTAGGAGATATAGTAGTTTTGAATAAACAGCCCATGGTATGGCATTACCCGCATGCCAATTTGGGGATTTTGGCAAACCCATCTCGAAAAGGCTCGTAGTCCAGGAATGTCCATTCCCCCAAACTGCCAGGCGGGTAAAACGCAGTTTAAATAATTCAGGTTTATCAGAGAGCGCTGCTGCCTAGTCTTTGTTAAATGGGCAATTGCTTAATTGCTTTTTACGACATCCGGAAAAAAGGGGGTGTGGGGACAAAATAGTGTATTTTAGGTAGGTATGTACCTACTCTGCTAACGACGAAGGAATTGTGAGGAAAGCTGGGCTTAATATTTCTAATTATAAGGTTGAAATGGCCAACCCATCTTGAGTGAGAGTAAGTAACCTTCTCCGTGTGAGAAGAGGCTGTTGATGTGATGTAATGTGATGCTCTGCCGTCACAATAGGGTGACGCGACGCTCAAATAAAATGCTCATCAATAATTGAATTCAGTTAACCCAAATTCAATACACGTAAAATGTCACTACCTAATTATCTAGATTTCGTAATTAATTGCATTGTTTGAAACAGCTGTAGGTTCCAGTGTCAGTAGAATGAAGGACATACTATATTGTGATTGTCTTGCAATATTTGGTGTCACAGCTAATTTCTAGGACATACATTACGAAATATGTTACATAGGTCCAAGTCGTGTGCGTAGAATACTTTTGTCGCCAGCCGTACTCCTACCGCGGGTTTCATAAGGAAAATTGAAAGGACATTTGAAAGAGATGGCAGCACTCTCTGATATTCAATCCAAGCTTGGCAGGCGGGCTGGAGATCGCAGTTAGGTAATAGGTTCACTAGATAGCACCACTGTCCCATCTCTGTCAACTCATCTCTCATTCTCTGATTGTTATATAGGCACTTAGATAGACGAGACTCAATGGGTCTCTAGTCATTACACTTACAATCTCCGGCCACCGTGAGCGCGGGCCTGCGGACGGCGAGCATGGGTGGCTCCCCGTCCGACCAGAAACAGACCCGAGCGTCCGGCGGCGCGTCGCGTTCCACGCGCGCTTCAAAGAGCCATCAGACCACCACAGATAGGGCCCAAAAGGGCCTATGCCAATTCGGAGGCGCGGGGAACCTAACGGGTAACCGGGGCTCCGGCTCGACGTGCAGGAGAAGGAACGGGGTGGTTCTTAGTCAGTAACAGTCTGACACTCCCTCCTGCCTGCCTCACCCAGGCGGGAGCAGTCACTCAATGATATTCCCCCTTAAAAAAAAGTCATTACACTTGTTTTAGCTTATTATAAACGCTTTAATGAAATGTGATTATAAATAGCTACATGTTATAGAATGTTATGACGACGATACGCTTAGTGTCTACAAATCTACGAGAGGTTACGACTAGTTATATAATATTATGTGTGTATATATTTAACACACATTTCCAAAACCAGTTACACAAATGGAGGTTTGATCCGCGATCCGCGATACGTAATCTTAGCTGCGGGCATTTCCGAATTGTTTACAATCGTTCATTGAATCTACGAAGTTATTTTGATTTTAGGTTAGGTACTGTCTACGAGTTTGTCCACTTGGAATCTAGAAGATCATGTCGCTCTAGTCATCCTGATTCTGTAGAACTACGTAATGGGAGAAATGGTAGTTTATGTTAGTCTCTGAAAGTCGAACTTATGAGCCTTTGCTTGGCAATCGGATGGCATTTACGGCCACTTAACTAGCGAGATATCTAATTTAACCGATGTACATACATACCTACAGACATATTATAGCAGGGTATATATACTTTTAACGGTAAACACGAGTATAAGGAAAATAACAAAAGCAACAAACGCTTTAACTTATGCTCAAAAATTTAAGTGGAAATGGGCAGGACATGTACCTAGCGCGACTAACAGACCTGAGATGGATCATAAAAATAACAATCTAGAACCTAGCCTATGTCAAATTGGAAGAATGTAGTATTCTATTGGTGAAAATTTTTTTTAAATCGGCAAAGTACTTTTTGAGCCTACTGATTACAAACATACAAAAATAGGTACAAATCTTTCTTCTTTATAATATTAGTATAGATATAGATTTAATATTATTATTATACCTACTTTTATTTTATTGTGAAGTGTTCAGAAGTGTATTTTAATGATTATTCTTTAACTTGACGGTTTCCCAGCAAATAAACATTTTAATCGAGAGACAATCTCATCACTACAATCATTTTGACGTCAATGGTATTTTTTCAGGTCTGAAATGATGCTAATGTAGTGTTTTTGTCAGGTCAATTATTTCTATGACAAAACTAGACTTTGTTGCAGCACCAAGTAGCGTGGTTTGATGGTGGGCAAAGGAGGCGACTGGTTGCTTTGGTAACTGTGGCGCTGGCGAATTCGTTAACATTACTAAACTTAAGACAAATTCGTACTAAGCCTTCTGATTACCTATATTATTGTAGGTTAACGACGCTCCTGTACTATGGTGTC